AAATAGCCTGTTTTCGAGCTCACTAATCCTTTGATCTGCTTGATCAATTCTGCTGTTAAGAGATTCTGCTATTGCAGAAGCTCTTAAGTTTAATTAGATCCCATTTGTCTATTTTGGCTTTTGTTCCTATGCTTTTGGTGTTTTAGTCATAAAGTGCTTGCTTATGCCTATGTCCTGAATGGTATTGCCTAGGTTTTCTCCTAGGGTTTTTCTGGTATTAGATCTTACGTTTAAGTCTTTAATTCATCTGGAGCTAATTTTTGTATAGGTGTAAGGAAGGGATCCAGTTTCAGCTTTCTGCCTACGGCTAGCCAGTTTTCCCAACACCATTTGTTAAATAGGGAATCCTTTCCCCATTGCTTGTTTTTATCAGGTTTGTCAAAGGTTAAATGATTGTAGAGTGAATGGACAAACAACAGAATGGAAAAAATTTTTGCAATCTACCCATCTGACAAAGGGCTAATATCCAGAATCTACAAAGAACTTAAACAAATATACAAGAAAATAACAACCCCGTCAAAAAGTGGGCAAAGGATGTGAACAGACACTTTTCAAAGAAGACATTTATGCAGCCAACAAACATATGAAAAAGTGCTCATCACTGGTCATTAGAGACTTGGCAAATCAAAACCACAGTGAGATATCATCTCATGCCAGTTAGAATGGCAATCACTGAAAAATCAGGAGACAACAGACGATGGAGAAAATGTGACAAAATAGAAACACTTTTACATTGTTGGTGGTAGTGTAAATTTGTTCAAACATTATGGAAGACAGTGTGTTGATTCCTCAAGGATCTAGAAATAGAAATACCCTTTGACCCAGCAATCTCATTACTGGGTATATACCCAGAGGATTATAAATCATTCATTATAAAGGCACATGCACATGTATGTTTATTGCAGCACTGTTTACAATAGCAAAGACTTGGAAGCCAACCCAAACACCCATCAATGATAGACTGGACAAAGAAAATGTGGCACATATACATTATAAAATACTATGCAGCCATAAAAGAAAATGAGTTCATGTCCTTTGTAGGAACATGGGTGAATCTGGAAACCATCATTCTGAGCAAACTGACACAAGAACAGAAAACCAAACACTGCATGCTGTCACTCATAAGTAGCTGTTGAACAATGAGAACACACGGACACAGGGAGGAGAACATCACACACTGGGGCCTGTCAAGGGGGTGGGGGGCTAAGGGAGGGATAGCAGTGGGTGGGGAGATTGGGGAGGGATAACATTAGGAGAAATACCTAATGTAGATGATGGGAGCATGGATGCAGCAAACCACCATGGCACGTGTATACCTATGTAACAAACCTGCATGTTCTGCACATGTACCCCAGAATTTAAAGTGTAATTTAAAAAAAAAAAGAAAAGAGATTTTAATACTGGCTTGGAACAGTGGCTCATGCCTGTAATCCCATCACTTTGGGATGCTGAGGAAGGCAGATCACCTTAGGTCGAGTTTGAGACCAACCTGACCAACATGGAGAAACCCCACCTATACTTAAAAAAAAAAAACAAAATTGGCCAGGCCTGGTGGCACATGCATGTAATCCCAGCCACTTGGGAAGTTGATGCAGGAGAATCTCTTGAACCCAGGAGGCAGAGGTTGCGGTGAGCCAAGATTTCACTCCAGCCTGGGCAAGAAGAGCACGACTCCATCTCAAAGAAAAAAAATACTTAATAATAATAATAATAAAAACCTTATATTGCCAGATTCGGTGTCTCATGCCTGTAATCCCAGCACTTTGGAGGCTGAGGCTGGGAGATTATGAGGACAGGAGTTGAGCCTGGCCAACATAGTGAAACCCCTTCTCTACTAAAAATACAAAAAGTAGCCAGACATGGTGGTTCTTGCCTGTAGTCCCAGCTACTCTTAAGGCTGGGGCAGGAGAATTGCTTAAACCCAGGAGGTGGAGGCTGTGGTGAGCCAAGTTCATGCCACTGCACTCCAGCCTGGGTGTCAGAGTGAGACTCTGTCAAAAAAAAAAAAAAAAAAAAAAAAGAAAAAGAGATCCTGATGCATTCTTCCATATGCCAATTGCATTTTTTCAACTCCAGAATTTCTGCTTCTTGATTCTTTTTAATTATTCCAATGTGTTTGTTAAATTAATCTAATAGGATTCTGAATTCCTTCTCTGTGTTATCTTGAATTTCTTCATTTTTCCTCAATAGTTATTTCAACGTTTCTATCTAAAAGGTCACATATCTCTGTCTCCTCAATATTGGTCCCTGGTACCTTATTTAGTTCATTTGGTGAAGTCATATTTTCCTAGATGGTCTTCATGTTTGTGGATGTTTGTTGGTGTCTGGGCATTAAAAAGTTAGATATTTATGATGGTTTTCACAGTCTGGGCTTGCTCATACTCATCCTTCTTTTTATTATTATTATTATTATTATACTTTAAGTTTTAGGGTGCACGTGCAGAACGTGCAGGTTTGTTACATAGGCATACTTGCCTTGGTGGTTTGCTGCATTCATTCCCCTATCATCTACATTAGGTATTTCTCCTAATGTTATCCCTCTCCAATCCTTCCAACTCCTGCTATCCCTCCCCTAGCCTCCTCTCCCCAACAGGCCCCAGTGTGTGATGTTCCCCTCCCTGTGTCCATGTGTTCTCATTGTTCAACACCCACTTATGAGGGAGAACATGCAGTGTTTTGTTTCCTGCTCTTGTGTCAGTTTGATACCCATCAGTGATAGACTGGATAAAGAAAATGTGGCACATATACACCAAGGAATACTATGCAGCCATAAAAAGGATGAATTCATGTCCTTTGCAGGAACATGGATGAAGCTGGAAATAATTCTTCTTGAGTAGGCTTTTCAGGTATTCAAAGGGACTTGAGTGTTGTGATCTAAGTTTTTGGTCACCTCAACCACATCTGCATTAGCGGGCCTCCAAACCTAGTAATGCTATAGTTCTTGCAGACTGCCTTGGTGGTCTTGGATAAGATCTGGAAAAATTCTTTGGACTAGCAGGCAGAGACTCTTGTTTTTTGTTTTTGTCTTTACTTTCTCCCAAACAAATAGAGTCTTTCTCTCTGTTCTGAGCTCTTGTAGATGGGGGCGGGATGACAAAAACTCCCTGAGGCCACTACCACTAGGACTGTCCTGGGTCAGACCTGAAGACAGTATAGCACTGGGTCTTGCCCAAGGCCGAGGTAACCATTTCCTTGCTACAACCTATATTTCCTCAAAGTCCTAGGGTCATACAATTAGGAGGTGGTGAAACCAGCCAACCTGTGTCCTTTCTTTCAGGGTGGCAAGTTATCCTGGGCCTCAGGCAAATCCAGAGATGCTGTACAGGAGCCAGGGCTTGGAGTTGGAAACCTTATAAATCTGCTCATCACTCTACTCTACTGCAGCGAAGTTGCCCCCAAAATCACAAGACAAAATCCTTTCCACTCTTCTCTCCCCTTTCCACCAGGAGAGGAATGTCCCTGTGTGTCCACTACCACCACAGGCCCATATGGAGTACTTCCAGGATGCCACCAGTGTAAACTTATGGCCCAAGGGCTCTTTGGTCAGCTTGTGGTGAATGCTGCCAAGCCTGGGACTCATGCTTTAGGGCAGTGGTCTCCCATCTGACCCAGAGTAGGTCCAGAAATGCTGCTCAAGAGCTAAGATCTAGAACTGGGAACCCCAGGAGCCTGTATGGTGGTCTTCCCCACTGTGGCTGAGCTGGTATGTAAAGTGCAAGACAAAGTCCCCTTTATTCTTTTTTCCCCTTTTCTCAAACAGAAAAGGTATCTCCTTGCAGCCACCACAGATGTGAATATGCTGGGTCACACCTGAAGTCAGAGTCTCACTGAACGTCAATGGCATGTATTACCTGGTTACCACTGCTGATTATTCAGGAGTCAAGAGATATTTAGTCAGCAGGTGCTACTTCCTGCCAGGGCTGGTTCCTTCTCTTTGAGGCAGCAGGTTCCTTTCTGGCTCAGGGTGTGTCTAGAAATGTCATCCAGGAGCTAGGTCCTGGAATGAAGGCATCATGGCTCTGCCTGGTGCCCTTTTTTTACTGTGGGTGAGCTGGTATCCAAGTTGCAAAGCAGTCATCTTTATTCTTCCCTCTCCTCCCCTTAAGTGGAATGAAGGAGTCTCTTTTGGAGTTGCAAGGTGCATTGTCTGTGGTGGGGAGGGAGTGATGCAAACACTCCATTAGCCCCCAAGCTGTTTACTCATTAGATCCTGCGCTCCCCACATCCATTGGCTCTTAGCCCATCCCAGCACAAGAACTTGCTTAGGAGTGGCAGTCCTTGTGGCCTGGACAGTCTTTCAAGTCTATTTAGGACCAGAGCACTTTAGCCTATTATGGCAAGGCTTACCAAAACTCACATTCTAACCACTGGGATGGGCAATTTACCCCTGGGACTATGGTTGATCTAAATGCTTCCTTCACAGGTGCTGACTGAGTTCTGCCCTGTGTTGGCAGCACTGAGTTCCAACGCAGTCCCATAATTACTGTGCTCTTCCTCCCCCAAGTGCTCAGATTCTCTGTGCCATATGGCCAGTACTGGGGGACAGAAGTGAGGCGTTGTCAGCAATTCAAGACTATCTTTCCTACTCACTTCATTGAAGTTCAAATCAGGTACTATGATCATTCACCTGATTTTTGGTTCTTATGAAGGTGCATTTTTGTGTAGATAGTTGTGAAATTTGGTATTCCTGTGGGGAGAACCATCAGGGGAAGCTTCTACTCTGTCATCTTGCTCTGCCCTCCCTGGGGTTTATCCAAATCCTATCTCGAAATACCCCCAGGTCAGATGGAGATAAAATTTCTGTGTCCTGTGCACAGCACCCACACTTTAAAAAATAGCACTCGCCACACTAACTGTAATTTTCCTTTTGTGTCTGCAGATCCCTGGGGAGCAACAGAGCCCCAGGATAGTGTAATTTGCAATAAGTATTCCCAGATGAAAAATTATGCATGAATTAATGAAAATACCCTTAAAGAGAGCTATGGTCCATAGGCACTCACCTATCTGACAAATGGCCATATAGGCTGCCTCCCACCATCGTTCCAGCCATGAATAGGAATTTAGCTACTGAATTCAGTGATTGAGATTCACATACCAGATCCCACTGGAAGAAAAAGAAACCAGCATATTAATGCTTATAGCCCCTCAGTGTAACCTGATCAAAATGTCTTAAAATGGCCTACAAATTTCATTCTATCTTCCTCTCTACCTTCCTTTTTCTGCATTACCTAATAGTCACTATTCAGGTGTTAAACACAACTTTCTTTTGAAAGCTATTCCTAAACTTTTAGGTATTATTAGAGTCCAGTTTTATTCCATACTGAATAGTTCTCAACCTTAGCCACACAGTGAGATCATTTGAGAACTTTTAAATATTTTTGGAGACCTAAATTTTACTCCTAGACTTTTTCTTATATGACGATTGTAAGGTATAATCTGGACATGGGGTTTTTAAGTAACTTCCCAGAGGTTTATAATTTTCAACCACAGGCTGAGCATCACTGACTTAGCTGAACATTTTTTAACACATTATACATACATTCTTGCTTAAATTTTGGTTTTACCAAGAATAAAACACGATGATAGCAGGGTCATGTCTACTTTTGAATTCATTAGACTTATTAAATGTGCAGGTATCTAGCATTCAATAGAGAAGCAATTGATGTTTGCTGAAAGAATGAAGAATAAGCACCTACCTGTGGCTAAAGGCTGGAAGCACATTCATTTCTTGTGTTATTCAAATATCCACGTCACATAAACATGAGAGGAAAATGAAGCCTCTTACCTTAGTCACAATGGTGGAAGGGAAGGAGGTTTGGTCATATACGCAGCCATCTACACAGGGCTCTGTGTCTGGCTCACTTGTGTTGGGGAAGGTCCCATTCAGATGAAGGAACTGCCACTGGGGACGGACAAAGCGACGACACTTCTCTGGCCTCAGATTTGAGTCAAATGGGATAGAGATTCTCAGGAGGGCATCCTGGCTGAGGGTCCCAGAGTTGTTGTCAGGAACAGTGTCATTGTCCAGTATATGAACCCAGCAGCGATGATCAGGTGTGAACGTAGTGAAGTTCTCCAGCCGAGTGTGATGGTATACTATGATGCTGAACATTATAAGGAAAACCATCTGAAGGATCTGAAATCTCCTCAGATCCCTAACTTGATCCAGGAGGTCCTGAAATGCCATTGAGGCTGAACAGGTAGTCCCCAAAAGGAGACAAAATGACTGTATCCAGATAAGTTCAAGGAGAAAATATTTCCTTTCCTTAAATCACACGAAGCGTGTGTTGATTCTGACCCCATTCTCTTTTAAATGGGCCCTCTCTCCCCTTTGAAGCAAGGTCATGGAAGCAATTTCCTCAAGTGGTTTTGGAGTCAGGTACGTATCACTTTCAATGAAATGTGTTTAATGTTCTACTTATTGATGTCTTTAGTAGCTCCACAGTAGCAGCATTGAACTTTGGTCTGCACATTTTCTGTAAACAAACTAAAATAAACCTGCTACTTGATATGCAGTCTATCTAGAAAGTGTAATTTGTGGGACTCAAAGGTGAAGTGTTTTTTATTTCTTTGTGAAAAGAACAGAAATCAAATGTTTTACTTGTTACGTACCAATTTTTGGTTAAGAGTTAATAAACACAATCTGAGTTGAATTAAAATGAGTAATATGGTGCAAGCCTTCCATTTTGGTGACTGATGCTCTGCTTCATGCTAAATCATACCACAAACTCACACTGGAAATGTTACTTGAAATATAGAGAGAGTGGTAGTGATGAGAACCAGAGGAGTAAGCCAGTGTTAATCTCATATGGAAGTTTACTCTTACTAGTGTATTGATCCTTTCAGATAGTATTTGTGAGGACATTTTCTGTGTCAGTTTCTTGAATAATGTGTACAACAAGGTTAAAAATCTTTTTTTTTTTTTCCCCATTTATTTATTTTATTGTATTTTAGGTTTTGGGGTACATGTGAAGAACATGCAAAATTGTTGCATAGGAACACACGTGGCAGTGTGATTTGCTGCCTTCCTCCCCATCACCTACATCTGGCATTTCTCCCCTTGCTATCTCTCCCCAGCTTCCCACCCCCCACCGTCCCTCCCCTATTTCCCCCCAACTGACCCCAGTGTGTAGTGCTCCCCTCCCTGTGTCCATGTGTTCTCATTGTTTAACACCCGCCTATGAGTGAGAACATGCGGTGTTTGATCTTCTGGTCTTCTGTCAGTTTGCTGAGAATGATGGTTTCCAGGTTCATCCATGTCCCTACAAAGGACCCAAACTCATCGTTTTTGATGGCTGCATAATATTCCATGGTGTATATGTGCCACATTTTCCCTATCCAGTCTATCGTCGATGGGCATTTGGGTTGGTTCCAGGTCTTTGCTATTGTAAACAGTGCTGCAATGAACATTCGTGTACACGTGTCCTTATAGTAGAACGATTTGTAATCCTTTGGATATATACCCAGTAATGGGATTGCTGGGTCAAATGGAATTTCTATTTCTAGGTCCTTGAGGAATCGCCACACTGTCTTCCACAATGGTTGAACTAATTTACACTCCCACCAACAGTGCAAAAGTGTTCCTATTTCTCCACATCCTCTCCAGCATCTGTTGTCTCCAGATTTTTTAATGATCGCCATTCTAACCGGCGTGAGATGGTATCTCAGTGTAGTTTTGATTTGCATTTCTCTGATGACCAGTGATGTTAAGCATTTTTTCATATGTTTGTTGGCCTCACATATGTCTAAATGGTGTTGGGAAAGCTGGCTAGCCATGTGCAGAAAGCAGAAACTGGACCCCTTCCTGACACCTTACACTAAAATTAACTCCAGATGGATTAAAGACTTAAACATAAGACCTAACACCATAAAAACCCTAGAAGGTTAAAAATCTTATAGTTCAGTGAGTATGACAGAGTACATGAACAATTAATCTGATATTATAAATATTATGTGAGGTACACAATGTGCTATGGAAGAATTGGAGATAAAATATAGGAGAAAATGGCACCTTGACTAGGACTAAAAGTTCTATTAAGATGTATACCTCATTGAGGTATAATTCATTTACCATACAATTCACTCTTTTAAAGTATACAATTGTGTTTCAGTTATTCAAAGAGTTGTGCAAGCATCACCGCTATGTCATTGCAGAACTCAGATCTGGACCAAGTAAACCTAACAGACATCTACACAACTCTGCACCCCAAATCCACAGAATATACATTCTTCTCATCACCACATTGCACTCACTCTAAAATTGACCACATGATCGGAAGTAAATCACTCTTCAGCAAATGCAAAAAACAGAAATCATAACAAACTCAGATCACAGGGCAATCAAATTAGAACTCATGATTAAGAAACTCAAAACTACACAATTACGTGGAAACTGAACAACTTGCTCCTGAATGACTACTGGGTGAAAAACAAAATTAAGGCAGAAATAAAGATATTTGTAACCAATGAGAATGAAGACACAACGTACCAGAATCTCTGGGACACATTTAATGCAGTGTCTAGAAGAAAACTTATAGCACTAAATGCTCACATGAGAAATGGGGAAAAATATAAAATCAACACCCTAATGTCACAATTAAAAGAAGGAGAGGAGCAAGATCAAACAAATTCAAAAGCCAGCAGAGACAAGAAATAACCAAGATCAGAGCAGAACGAAAGGAGATAGAGACACAAAAAATCCTTCAAAAAAAATCAATAAATCCAGGAGCTCGTTTTTGAAAAGATCAACAAAATAGATAGATCACTAGCCTGACTAATAAAAAAGAAGAGAGAGAAGAATAGAAAAGATGAAATAAAAAAATGACAAAGAAGATATCACCACCAACTCCACAGAAATACAAACTAACATTAGAGATTACTAAAAACACCTCTATGCACATAAACCAGTAAATCTAGAAGATATAGATAAATTCCTGGACGCTTGCACCCTCCCAAGACTAAATCAGGAAGAAGTTGAATCCTTGAATAGACCAATAACAAGGGCTGAAGTTGAGGCAGCAATAGGCTACCAACCAAAAAAATTCCAGGACCAGACGGGTTCAAAGCTGAATTCTACCAAACATACAAAAGGGAGCTGGTACCATTCCTTCTAAAACTATTGCAAACAATACAAAAAGAGGGAACCCTCCCTAACTCATTTTATGAGACCAATATCATGCTGATACCAAAACCTGGCGGACACAACCAAAAAAGAAAATTTTATGCCAAAATCCATGATGAACATTGATACGAAAATCCTTACTGGCAAACTAAATCCAACAGCACATCAAAAAGCTTATTCATCATGATCAAGTCGGCTTCATCCTGGGGATGCAAGGTTTGTTCAAGATATGCAAATCTATAAACGTAATCCATCACATAAACAGAACCAAAGATAAAAACCACATGATTATCTCAACAGATGCAGAGAAGGACTTTAATAAAATTCAATAGCTCTTTTGACTAAAAATGTTCAATAAACTAGGTATTGATGGAACATATCTCAAAATAATAAAAGCTATTTATGACAAACCACAGCCAGTATCATGCTGAATGGACAAAAAGTAGTAGCATTCCCTCTGAAAACTGGCACAAGACAAGGGTGCTCTCTCCCACCACTCCTATTCAACATAGTATTGGAAGTTCTGGCCAGAGCAATCAGGCAAGAAAAAGAAATAAAGCATATTCAGCTAGGAAAAGAGGAAGCCAAATTGTCTCTATTTGCAGATGACATGATTGCATATTCAGAAGACCCCATCGTCTCAGCCCAAAATCTCCTGAAACTGATAAGTAACTTCAGCAAAGTCTCAGGATACAAAATCAATTTGCAGAAATCACAAGCATTCCTATACACCAATAACAGACTAACAGAGAGCCAAATCAAGAGAGAACTCCCATTTGTAATTGCTACAAAGAGAATAAAATACCTAGGAATACAACAAAGGACATGAAGGACTTCTTCAAGGAGAACTACAAACCACTGCTTAAGGAAATAAGAGAGGACACAAACAGATAGAAAAACATTCCATGCTTATGGTTAGGAAGAATCAATATCATGAAAATGGCCATACTGCCCAAAGTAATTTATAGATAATTTATAGATTCAACACTATCTCCATCAAGCTACCATTGATCTTCACAGAACTGGAAAAAAACACCTTAAACTTCATATGGAACCAATAAAAAGCCTATATAGCCAAGACAATCCTAAACAATAATAATAATAATAAAAACCCCAAAGCTAGAGGCATTACACTACCTGACTTCAAACTATACTAGAAGGCTACAGTAATCAAAACAGCATGGTACTGGTACCAAAACAGAGATATAGACCAATAGAACAGAACAGAGGCCTCAGAAGTAACACCACACATCTACAACCACTGACTTTTGACAAATTTTTGCAATCTACCCATCCGACAAAGGGCTGATATCCAGAATCTACAAAGAACTTAAACAAATATACAAGAAAAAACCAAACAACCCCTTCAAAAAGTGGGTGAAGGATAGGAACAGACACTTTTCAAAAGAAGCCATATATGCAGCCAATAAACATATAAAAAAGTGCTCATTATCACTGGTCATTAGAGAAATGCAAATCAAAATCACATTGAGATACCATCTCACGCCAGTTAGAATGGCGATCATTAAAAAATCAGGAGACAACAGATGCTGGAGAGGATATGGAGAGATAGGAGCACTTTTACACTGTTGGTGGGAGTATAAATTAGTTCAATCATTGTGGATGACAGGGTGGTGATTCCTCAAGGATCTAGAAATAGAAATGCCATTTGACCCAGCAATCCCATATACCCAAAGGATTATAAATCATTCTATTATAAAGACACATGCACACGTATGTTCACTGAGGCACTGTTTACAATAGCAAAGACTTGGAACCAACTCAAATGCCCATCAATGATAGACTGGATAAAGAAAATGTGGTACATATACACCATGGAATACTATGCAGCCATAAAAATGATGAGTTCATGTCCTTTGCAGGGACATGGATGAAACTGGAAACCATCAATCTCAACCAACTGACACAAGAACAGAAAACCAAACACTGTATATTCTCACTCATAAGTGGGCGTTGAACAGTGAGAACACATGGATAAAGGGAGGGAACATCACACACCAGGGCCTGTTGGAAGGCGGGGGGCCTAGAGGAGGGATAGCAGGAGTTCGGGGATTGGCGAGGGATAACATTAGGAGGAATAGTGAATGTAAATGATGGGGGATGGATGCAGCAAACCATCATGTCATGTGTATACCTATGTAACAATCCTGCATGAGCTGCACATGTACCCTAGAACTTAAAGTATAATAATAATAATGAATATTTTTTTATCACCACATAGGAAACCATATCCATAGCAGCAATTCTTTATTT